GGGGGGGGGGAAACAGCCGTCAGCGCCCTCTGCTGGCGGGAACACACACCCACGGCTTTTCTACAGATGTTAGGCCCGTCCCCATCCCACATCTGGATCGGATCGGCCGCCGATATTTGCAAAAAAATGCGCAGTTTGGGTCTGTTTTGTACGAGTTTGGGTTAAAAAAAAATAGTGAAAAGAATCTTGCAAACACTGAATTAAACTCTATCCATAATATTATGTTAAAATAGTGGATGTTAAATAGGTTTGTACAATAAGTCCAAACAAGTTTAACCAAAAAAAAATGTATTTCCTACAATTACGCAGTCAGTGTTATGGTCAGGGTTACGGTTAGGGTCATGGATAGGATCAGGGTTAGGGTTAGGACATTTTGTATGGACAGTGACGTTTGGTGTCCTGTAGTTTCAGGGTCCGGCCTGTAGATGGCACTGTAGGACAGCTTTCAGTAGAAGAAGCTGACATCTTATTTATACAAACACTACATCAAACTCTTTAAGGAATATTTATAATTTTTTTCATTAAGCTATATTTTCAATCTACACTTTCAAAAATGAATCACTCCTTAAGACTAAATTTAGTATCTTTCGGGGTCCAAAGACTTTTTTATTCTTCCAAACACCATCTTTGAACATAAATATATACCTTTCAGCTCCTCTAAAAATAATAAAAGAGCTGTTAATAAACTCTGACTGATATCTGACTGTGTAGTTGACCATCTCTGTAGCCGTTCTCTTAAACTGGATCTGGAGTCTGGATCTGCGTTTTCTCCTGCCGGCCGATCCGATCCAGATATGGGATCGGGACTGGCCTACCTCAAGGGCAGAAAAACCCAAAGTCCAGCAGCTCAGAGGAGCCCCGCAGAGCCCCTCCCACTCACAGAGAGGGGCGCGGCCAGCTCCACGGCGGTGGCGCCGGAGGCGGCGGCCGTCAGGTCCCCGGGGATGCTGATGGGGTCCGGGGTCAGGGCCAGCGTCCGAAGCACGGCGGGGGCGTCCGGCTGCCCGCAGTTCTTCCAGTCGAAGCCCAGAACCTGGGGACAAACGCGGGGACAAAGGCCTCAGTCCGGGCCTGGGGGGGCGCTCAGCCCAGGTAAACAAAGCAAAGCTCAAACCCAGACCGCTGTTTACATTAGAGATCCACACAGTGAGTATTTGGGCTGCAGAGGTCAGAGGTCAGTGTGTTATCTAAGCCCGGAGAGGCTATGATGATCAAAGGCTTTTTAGGCCCAAATCTGTTAGTTGCTGCTAAATTCCTATTTTCTGTCTGTTAAACTGTGTGACATTTGGCATTTTCCTACATCAAATAAAGAAATCATCAATAAAAGCATCCAATACCCAAAGAAAAACTTAAAAAAAAACTAAAAAAAAGTCTGATAAACTATTGCACAACTCGGATTTTTCTTCTTGAAGAAGCATTTAACTGAAATGAAAAAATAAATATAAGTAAACCACCTGCATTTATCTTCATTTTCTGATTTTTTTTCTTTCTTGCCTTTTTCAGTTTATGTAGTTTACTTTTCTGACAGCGGTTTGTCTCAGCTTTCCATTGTATGCATGTTTGTGATCGAAATATCCGATTTAGATAATAAGCTTGTTTGTGGAAAGCAGGGACTTACTAAAATCAGGAAGTAAAATGACATTAACTGAGGGGGAAATAAACCCTGCCATCTTGCATAAAACTGAACATGGAAGAAAAAAAAGGACTGTAGCTGTAACAAAAAAAAAAAAAAAAAAAAAAAAGGTGGCGTTAATGAGGAGGAAGAGCTCACCTGTACGGTCCGGAGCCTCTTGGGGCGGAGGGGGCCGCCATGGCCGGCCTCCGGCGGCCGGGAGGCAGCAGCCATGAGGCCGGAGAGGAGCCCGGAGAGGAGCAGGGTGAGGGCCAGAGACCTGTCCATGCTGGCCGGCCTAGAACTGCTCAGAGGACCGCTGCACGGGGGGAAGACGCGGAGTTACTTCCGTGTTTACGCTCTACGGGGCCTGACGTCACGTGACCGCCGAGCCACGTGACCTCAAAGCAGAACAGATGCAGCTTTAGTGATTTTGGTGACAAATAAAACGTTTTAAACAAATTTAAAGCCGGATGTCGAATATAAAATTACACAGAACAAAATCAAATAAAAATAACTGAATACAAAATCCACTTTTAGATTAAAAAAAATAATGGCCCATCATCTGTTCCTATTGGTGGCGAAGGTGTTCTGTAGTTTCAGGGTCCGGCCTGTAGATGGCAATGTAGGACAGCTTTCAGTAGAAGAGGATGACATCTAATTTATACAAATACTAAATCAAACTCGTGAAGTATTATTTGTCATTTTTTTCATTAAGCTATTTTTTAAATATGCACTTTCAAAAATGAATTGCTCCTGAAAACTACATTTAGTGTGTTTCTTTCTATTCTTTCAAAGACCATTTTTTAACATAAATATACCTTTCAGCTCCTCTAAAAATGCGTCTTGGGGTGCAGTTTTTAGTTTTTTACCGTGTAAATTATAATCAAACCAGTCATAGTGACAGGTTTACAGGATTACAGGATGGTTTAGCGGGGGAAAAACACGAGCTCTGAGCTCTAGAAAGGCACAAGCAAGACTTCCTATTTTGTTATACAGTATATTGTATAAGAGCTGGACGGTTTATTGTTACTCCAAATAAGCTCAGTGCGCATGCGCACAAGCTGCGGCCCGAACGCCTCTGGCAGGAGGATGAGGAGGGGGGAGGAAGGGGGGGGGTCGATGGGGCCAGATGATGCTGGCAGTGAGGAGGAGGAGGAGGAAGAGGAGGAAGAGGAGGAGGAGGAGGACCCTGTCACCGAGCTGCTCTCCATCCCATGTGCAGCACAGAAGAACCGGGCACGTGCTCCTGGACCGGCGGATCCGTGTAGACCCCCCCCCCCCCCCATTTAAATCAGACCATTAGACCCGGAGGACCGGCGGTGGAGCCGCTCCCCACCCGGAGATGCTTCAGATGGAGGGATGCGAGGAGGACAGGGACGCGCACGTGCAAACAGAGGTAAAAGAAAAAGGAAAAAGAGAAAAAGACCACCTCCCAGGGCGCGTGCGTTAGGTGGAAAGAGCCGGTGTTTTTTGCCGGTCCGTGGCCGAAAAGGCGACGCTTTGGCCGGCCTGCAGGCTCCGGAGAGCCGGGCCCCTCCCCGCAGCCTCCAGCCTCTTCTTCTCCCTTTTTCCTCCCTTCGCACGCGGGCACGAACGCGCACGACGGGTCCACGCCGATGCCGCGTTCAGGGCCGCGTTGTGTGTGTGTTATCTGCGGGATTTCTGGTAGAAACGGGCTGAGGGGGAAAGATGATGCCGGTCTATTTGTGGAGCCGGTGTCTGGATGCTAACCAGGCGCAGGTCTGAGCCGGTGTTCAGCGGAAATACGTCCCAAAATCTAATAAAACCGACAGATTTGATGTAAATGCATTTAACAAACCAACTAGGAAGGAGCACATCAAGCTGCCAAGGCTTTTCTAATATCCAGGCCCCGAATTCCAGACACCTCAGCCTGGTAGACATAACATGAGGAAAGGGGGGGGAAAAAAGCAAAATGAGGTCAAAAGACATCACATAACAGCTACAATGGCTGTAAAATAATGAAACAACAAACAAACAATGCAAATATGACAAAGTTTGAGTTAAATTGAGCTAATTAAAGCTAATTATTTCTTCATGGATCTTCTCTAATTTCATGTTAATCCATGTTCATCACCCTTTTTCAATTCTTAAGATTAAAATTCTTCCTCTCAATTAAAAGAAAAACATCACAATAGATATATTTAAGTGTAAAAATCTATAAACTGAGTGGAAATAGCTTTTTACATACAAAAGCTAACTGGGTTTGTGATTGTAAGGTGCTTTTTAAGCAATAAATACTATTATAAGTTCATGTTGTAATTTTTAAGGGTTGCAAAGCTCTATTAATTGTGAATATTTGAGGGCAGGGATATAAAATGTTAAGCAAAAGATTGTTAAAAATCCTTCCTGCTCTTGAACTTTAGCTAGCTAAGGAGTTAGCCTAAAAGCTAAAGTTGGTAGTTGGAATATGTGTACTGTATTTATCTTATGATGTATCTTAGTTATTGATATAATCGTGTTACTTTGTGTATTTCAATAGATATTTATACTGTATATATATTTATAAGGAGAGAAGGAAACACTTGTTAAAAGCTAACAGCAGCTAGCAAACTAAATCTGTTTGTACAGAAACCATTTAACATGATTTATAGTTATTTTGCACCCTTTGACTTATCGGTTATGTTTTCTTTTCCATTTGAAATAATTTGTTTGTCCTAAGAAATTAAAATAAGGTCAGCCAGAAGAACATTTACATGTTTGTGTTTGGTTAAGCTCCATTTACCTCATCTGTTGTCTAAACCTCTGACTTTATTTAGAGATTTCAGCATCTTTACCTCCCAGTTTTTTTTTGTTGTTTTTAACCCACTCTGGTTTTTTACTCTGAATGGAGACCCCTGATGGTGGCACACCACAGCTGGCTAAATGATGCTAAATGATCCCTGTTTACCACATGGCTGACCACAGGAGGTCCCCTCTTTGATTCACTGGTTCACATGAGGATCCACCTGAGTCAGCGCCTCCAGGGAAGGCCAGCTTAAGCTCCGGCTGCTTTCTTTGCTTTGGTCTGAGTCACCAGAAAGAAGAATGACTGTCTGCTCTTTACCTGCTCGATTCTTCTCTTAGAAGATCTGGTCTAAACGTGGCCTGTTCTCTGTTTCCTGTACACCATATTCCACACGATTGTCAACAACTGGGTCTAGTGTTTTTCTTTTTTTTCCTTACGAGGCCTAAAATGACTTTTTGTTCAGGTGTTATGTGTATTTTTCTTTTTGGGTCAGTAAACAAACGGTAAAGGGGGAAAATAGAGGTGGATTTCTGAGCCGCTCGTTCTTAAATGTGAATACAAAGCAAACAAAAAGCATTTTATTATAGTAATAATGATAATAATTTCAATTTGTAGAGCACAAATACAAGTTACAAAGTGCTTTAACAAGTGTAAAGACAATACTACCCAAGAGACAATAATACAAAAGCAATACAAGATAAAAATACAAGAAGAGTGTCTAATTATTTCTTCTTTTTTTTCTAACGAGGCCTAAAATGACTTTTTGTTCAGGTGTTATGTGTATTTTTCTTTATGGGTCATTAGACAGACTGTAAAGGGGGGAAATAGAGGTGAAAATACTACCCAAGAGACAATAATACAGCCTCTTAAAGGGCCGGTTAATCAGCTGATGCCCCCCATGATGGACGGCCCCAGTGGGCAGCCGACCTCTGACCTTTAATGCCCTGCGCCACATCCTGGGCAGACGTGTGGGCCCTTTGCTGTTTTTAGAGCCCAATCCTCTTCATTTCCCAGCAGACCGAGCTCCGCAGGAAGGTGATTTTTTTTTTTCTTTCTTCTTTTCAACCAATCTCTGGAGGCCGATGGAACCCAGAGGGAGCCGTTTGTCTTTGTCTTTGTTATTTTTACGGGGCAGGCGGACGCTGAATGCTTTACGGGCTCGGATTAGCATTTTAAAGGGGGCGTACGGGACCCTGTGAGGTCCGTCCTGATGGCCCCCGCCCTCTGAGCTGAGGCTGGAGGAGCCTTCAGCCTCTCATCCTCCACAGTTAGCTGCCCTGAGTCGGCCGCTCTGCCAATTACCCACTTCTAAAAGCCTAAAGTTGGTCAGCACAGAGGCAAATCGTTCAAACTGACCTCTCGTTACTGGGGATAAAGCAGGGATCTCCTCAGAATGAGGATAATCTGACGGATACCTTTTCAAATCTGGCTTCGTCTGGACGGGGAACGTCGGATTATCCTCTAAATGGGCTTCACCGGTTCCCCTCTCCCCAAAGTGGGTAGATTCCTCTTTGTGGTCAGAGAAGTCGTCTTTAAACGGGAACAAAACCTCCTAACTTCCTGTTTCTGCTGTTTGGGTTCATAGAAGAGCCTTTTATAATGTTGATTTCAGGTTTCTGGCTGATAACAGGCTGGTTTTGATCCTCCACACCAGGGGTCTTCAAGGTTTTCCAAGCCAAGGACCCCAAACTGATGGAGTGGGTACCACTAATTATATACCTGAAATTATGTTCTATCAAACTGGTCCTATAGTGTGTAAATATACCTTGTTATTGTGCATTCAGTACTAAGATCCTCAGATAATCCACAGGTTGATATCTTCATGTTTTTACTGTAAACATCTGCTTCTGGTTCCTGGTTGGTGGGACGAGTGTTGTGAATGAAACGTTGCCCAGCTTGAAAGAGCTCCTGTGTGTGGCTGAACTGACCAGTTTGATACAACACAATTTCATACAATGTATACTATGGATGTCCCGATCCAGCTTTTTGAACTTCCGATCCGATCCCGGCCTATCAGAGCCTGGAGATGCCTTAGTAGATGCTAATGCTAATGCTAACGCTCGTGTGGGATCGGACTGGATCTGGAGTCTGGATCTGCATTTTCTCCTGCCGGCCGAATATCTGCGGCTGATCCGATCCAGATATAATTATAAAATAGATAATTGGGGGTCCCCGCTCCATCTCGCCATCAGTTTGGGGGTCCACCGATGTTGTTCTTTCTGCTCAGGATTTGTGTCTGGGGAGAATTAACCCTTTTTTTTTTTCTTTTTTTGTTTACTGATTCACAGCCACTAGCAGAGGATTTTGGGCACAACGCCACCTGCTCCACTCACTTTGTGCCCCATTTGAATAAGCTTCCACAGCTTTTATCCCTTAAAAACCCAAAGGTGCTCAAATAAAATGCGTTTGTCCACAGAAGCAGTGGGAATCGGAGCCTTCTCACACCTGGTTACTTCTTAAAATGTGTTATTTCAGATGTGACAAAACTCGTTTGATCAGGTTTCTGTTTCCTATAATTTCCCCTTTATGGGAGAATCGT